CATTAGCACCTCTAGTAATATATTTACTGAGAAAAATGGTGACGTCTTCAGTACTTATTTTACCCGCTGTAAAATGATTTGTGTGAATGTGACAGCCATGGTCAGCTGGGGCATGGAGGACTGACCTCAGAGGAGGAGCCCAGGACGGTGGAAGCCCTGTGGGGGGTGCCTATGAGCTCTGTGGCTGCCGGAGGCTGGCACTCTGTCTGCYTTAGTGGCAAGTGTTGAATAAAAGGGTTGCCTTAAAGAAAAGAGAGGTGGAGGAAAAATAACAAGTTAACTTTTCTTTGCAGGTGGAGGTGATCTGTATGTGTGGGGCTGGAACGAGAGCGGCCAGCTTGGACTTCCATCGCGAGGTTTGAGGAAAGACTCGCAACAGAAGAGTTCCCAACAAGCAGGTTTGGCATTAAGATAATAGATTGAAAACTCAAAATCTTGCCAACATTTTATTAATAAAACACATTCAGTTTGATAGTACATTTCAAAATGTTTGGATACAAGTCYTTAGGACTAAGTAATGAGGAAATTCTGTATTTTTTAATGCAAAAAAAGTGTGATAAAACAAAATTGGGTTTCTCGATTTTTAAAGTTGACTTAAAGTAAAATCTTCCTAAAAGTTTTGGTGTTCTTGACTCTTGCACAGAATTGTGTCAAGATGTCTGCACATCTTCTAAAGAGGAGCTACATGAAGAGAAACAAGATGATGTATTCATCTCAATCCAAGGATTCCCTGCTCTGCTGGATGTCAGTCCTTCGTGTGAAATCAGGACAGTCGGCTGTGGCTCCCGGCACACTGCTGCAGTCACAAGTAAGATGTCTTGTATAAAATAAACATRAAAATTTATTATTATTATTTTTATTTTTTTGTGGAAAGGGCCATTTATACATCATTTTCCACATTTCAGCCATGGGCAATCTGTACACTTGGGGATGGGGTAAGTTTGACCACATAAAGACATTAAAACTGAATTTAATGCTWACTATAACAACCAGTCTGATCAAACTAAACATAAGCATGCAGTTCGTTGAGCTATTTTGTTTTCTCAGGTGAATACGGCCAACTTGGACACCAAACCTTAAACAGTTTAGATGAGCCTCAGTGTGTGGAGTTCTTCAGCGCTGAGAATCTGCTCGTCGTCGATGTGGTGTGTGGGCCGTGGAACACTTTTACTGCCGCTGTCACGAAGGAAGTACCAACTCAAAAACAAACCTGCTAAATATCCTAACAAATACTTTTCTTACTGGTTATGAAGTGTGGTTTGTAGTAAATTATTTGTTGATGTTTAAATAAATTACTTTTGTACTATTTTTTAAACTTTTATTTTACATACGTTTAAAAAATATATATAGAAATTTCACAACCAATGCATAAAATGTTAAGACAGGAAAATGTACAAGTTATTAGATTTTAAGGCATCAAAAGTATCCAAAACWTTAGTAGGAGAGTAAAAAGCGCAGCATTTCCACAGCAAAGTAGAAGTCTTCACAGCACAATCTTGAAAGAACTGGAAAATGAAATTAAGAGTTAGTAAACCATTTTTGTGTAAAATATCTACTTTTTTGACYACACTAATGAGCTTTTTAACTACCTGACAAAATCTGGAGATCTTGAAATGACATGCTGAAACTCMGAGAGGTTCACAGTCCCATCCTTGTCAATATCTGATTCATCAAGGATCTAAATAGTATGAAGAAAAAAGTATGTCTAGTCTGACWTTTTGCTTTGAAACACCATTTTACAACCACARTAGGAGAAAAATCTACAGTAAACTCACATTGGTTATGAGCTGTTTCATTTCCTCTCTYGTTAATCCCGTCTCTTCTGTGTCTTTCTGCTTGTCTTCTGGGATGGTCAAGCAGTTGACCAGTTTCTCCAGATCACCATAACCGAGGGTTCCGTCGTCATCAAAGTCTGAAAATACAAAGATTGCACCAGATCTGCATCTTTACAGGCAAATTTACCTAACTAAAGCTTTATCAATATAATTACCAAATATACGAAATGCGTAGTGGGATTTGATTTCTATAGTGGCTGAGTCACTGAAGGCACTCAGAAGATCCAGGAAATCTTCAAAGGTGAGGCTTCCATCTTTATCCTCAGATGTTGAGAATACCTGGCAGATTCTTTTCCTGAAAGGGTTGGACTAGGACAAGAACAAGTACAAAGTTCATTTTTTAATACTTAGCTACTTCCTGCAAAGCAGATTATAGCACATACGTGAACAAGAACTAAGAAAACCACCACCCCATCTCTTATTAACTGAACAATTTTGTCACCTTCAGCTCAGGCAGACTATGAATCTTCTCCATGGGAACTCTTAAATGTAGAACACCTTTCTGTTCTTTGGACTGCAGTTCTGTGAATCTCTTATGAGCCCTAAAAAAATAACAATAAAGCAGCCACAAATTAAAAAAAAAAAAAACATCACAAAGTTACGTCGGGAWTAAATGTTTTTAATTTGCTCAAAACTTCTCACTTACAGAAGGATTTCTTGTTTTGTCAGAAAGGTCAGCTCCTAAAGGTAGTTGTGGAAAAATACAAAAATAAAATGGACCCTTTGTCGTGTTCTTAATTATGGAAATCAGCTTAACATAAACGTGATACAGCGATTAAAACATATATTTTCCCCTTGTATTATGACTCAAATGTTATATTTTGTACTGGAACTTTTATTTAATTTAATTTAGCTGTTACGTTAAATTATTTACCTTTTTTTTTAACTTTAGCAGCTGAAGAGTTAGTACCCCTAAAAATGCGGATAGAATTGACGATAAATACTTACTTGGTATTCTGACAGATCATTTTTATTAAGTTGACTTGATGTAGTTCCCATTTTACGCCTTTCTACAAGAATATTTACTTCTGTTGTTGATAAAACTCAACACTCACTGAACTGCGACGAAAAAGTATTCGGTATTGCTTACTTCCGGGTTTGAATGCGTGCGCGCCGCTGTACCAATGCGCGTTCTCGTTTTCTTTTTTTTTTTAAATTTATTTATGGGCGGGTCTAAAAAGTGTTTTTTGTCTTCATAATAACGGTCCCGAAAATATGGGGCGCCGTTTGTAACGAAAAGCTAACTTTTTGTATATAATTTCTGTTCAATATTATTCATTTTAAATAGTTCTTGCCTCCAGATTGCTGGATGCGACAAAATAAACATTTAAAATGAAGGTCATAGATTTCACTTATTAAAGGCAAATGATGACTAAATACTGAAATGACGCAGTATGTAAAATTAAAAGTATTTTCCTCTTTTATAAAGAAATAAAATTACACAGAATCACTCTAGCAGATATACATAAAACACTGCATTTAAAATGACATGATACCCAGAAATTTAGAGAACTTGGTTTATTTGTCCAAAATCGAATTTACAAATCTCAGACAARGCTTTTTGCAGTGTTTTATTTTTGCTGCATTGATACTTTTGCTTTAGTCCGATTACTGAGTATAACTTAAACTCAGCATTGTCTTATTGCAGTTTTAAAACACAACAGTAAAGGTACTCTTCCATTCTATGAAAAAAAAATCTGTTATTCATAATACTATCTAAAACAAGTACTTTAATCAACCCAGATAACATTATTGTCCATAACATTCCATAAAATGGAGACTTATCTTTGACATTGGGCTCAAACATGCAACACAAAATTAATTTAAAATACCAAAACCTTTAAAAGCTTGCAAGAACACCCAGTGAAACAATCTAAAATACATGATACAATAAAAAATAAAATTAAAGAAAAATGTTACTTTAATACCTTATAAATAGTTTTAGTTTTACAGCAAGTTATAGATCATTTAGTTACCAAAAAAGAGCAGTTAAACAAAGGATGAGCATAACTGAACAAACAACTTTAAAAACAACTGAATGTATTGGAAGTTAAAAAAGAAGGCAAATCTTGTTAGATGATGAAGCGATGATTACTTCAACTCGGGGGGGAACAAGCTAAGCTCCTTGGTTTGTTTCCCAGTCTGTTGGATCTGGAACAGAACAAAAACACCAAAGAAATATTTAACTATTTACAAAATACTGTACAGYGAATGTAATTATTGTTGAGGTTGTACCTGTCATTTTTGTTCCTTCTTTGGTCTCAGCTGGAACCCCAGTGCCATACTCYTTTTCACCAGTGACTCTGAAGAAGTAGATTCCTCCCTCCTCCAGGTCAGAAACCTTGTAGGACAGTCGGCGACATTTGTCCGTGAGTCTTGTCCACCCCTTCCTACTAATTTCTTTTATGTCTACAAGGTAGTTCTTCACAGGGGCTCCTCCCTCATTCTCAGGGATGTCCCAGGTAACAGTAGCAGAGTTCTTAGTCACATCTTTGACTGTTATGTTGTTCGGAGGCCCAGGTGAATCCAAAACCCTCACATTCAGGGTTAAAGATGCAGATCCAGCAACYTTTTGGAGTTTCACTGTGTATTTGCCAGAATCATCACGCGTTGCCTGTTCCACTGAAATAGATGTGACAGTACTGCTGGTGCTGATAACTCCTCTTACCCTAAGATCTACATCTACTTTGTCCCATGACACACTAGGAGTAGGTTTGCCTGTGAAAGGCACGGTCAAGGTGAAGCAACTGCCATCTTTAACAAGCAAGGTCTTCCTCATCTCYGGGCTAATATCGAATCTGGGCTCCTCCTCTCTGTCAATGGCTATTTCAGGATCTGTTTCAGGACTGGGTTCACTGATACCCATCTTATTGATYGATCTAACTGTAAAAACATATTCTGCTCCAGTTGTGAGTCCAGTTACTGTACATTCAGTTTTATCTGTGTTGTGAACACCAACAGTCCAGTCTTCCTCTGTTGATTTTCTGAATTCAACTTTGTACCCTGTAATTGGTGCTCCCCCATCAAACAAAGGCTTGTTCCATGTCAGAAAGATGGATGACCTGGATGAATCAACTACAGTGGGCTTTGTTGGAGGGGAGGGGAGAAACTTGGGATCTTCTGCCAGAGTAAGAGGACATGGTATACTAGGCTCACTTAGACCTGCAGTATTTTCAGCAAAAATTCTAAATTCATACTCYCATCCCTCGTGTAGGCCTGAGGCCTTAACTCGTAGGTCATAGACAGTTTTTTTATTGACCCTGACCCAGCGAACACCATGCTTTTCCCTTTTCTCAATGATGTAACCACTGATAGGACTACCACCATCAGAGACAGGCCTTTTCCAGCAGACAGTCATTGTGTCACTGGTCGCACTTGAGACCTCCACATCTGTTGGAGCAGATGGGACAGTGAAGGGATCCATGGCTTTTATTGGCACACTCTCCAAAACCTCACCGTCCCCATATTTGTTGACTGCCCTCACCCTAAACAGGTACTCATTTCCTTTGAGAAGCTTTGTTACCTTACAAGATGTTGCCATCATGTCTCCATACAAAAGAGTCCAGGAAACACGACTTGTTTCACACTTTTCAACAACATAATGTAAAATTTCTGCACCACCAGTTTCTTGAGGGGGTCCCCAAGACAATGTGCACTTTTCTGCTGACAGGCCAGACACTTCCAGAGGGCCAGCTGGAGGGCCTGGCCTGTCCAGCACCTTGCAGGTGATAACTTTCGACGTAGTACCAGCTGTATTTTGCAAGGTCAGAGTATACTGCCCAGAATCTTTCCTAACACACTCTCTGATAAGGAAAGAGGTATGAGTCTTTGTTGCCATTATCTCAACTCTTCCTTTGGTCCCAGTATTTCTTCCATTTTTTAACCAAGACACAGTTGGATTAGGGCGGCCAGAGATGTCAGCATCTATTCTTAGAAGCTCTCCAGCTTTGACCACTACCACCTGTCTAAATTGGTCATCCAAGATAATTTTGGGTGGCTCCACATCATGCTGGACTGTAATAGGCCCAGTGGTTTCAGAGGGTGCACTGAAGAGATCAGCTGCATTCTTTGCAATGACACGAAAATCATATTGTTCACCCTCTGTGAGTTCTGTCACTTCCAGGAAGGTGTCCAATAAATTTGTGAAGTTGCACTTAAGCCAGCAACTATCTGGCAGTTCTTTACGCTCAACAATGTAGCCAGTTACTTTAGCCCCTCCGTCGTATTTTGGTTTGTCCCATGAGAGTGAAACTGAAGCGTTTGTCACATTGGTTACTGTGAGATTGTAAGGAGGCTCACATGGGTCTCTTGCTGGTACAGGTTCAGACGTCTGACTGCAGGGTCCAGCACCAGCCATATTTTCAGCACAGACCCTGAACTCATATACAAGACCTTCTTCAACACTTGTAACTTTATATTGGTTCTCCGTCACTGGGTTTCGGTTTAGTTTTGTCCATAAAATACTACTTTGATCTTTGCTTTCAATATGATAACCAATAATAGGGCTGCCACCGTCACTGTCTGGCTGGCTCCAAGCAATGGTCATTACAGACTTTGAGGCCTGCACAACATGGAGGCTGGTTGGTGGACCAGGTGGCCTGAAAGGATACTGGGCAACTATAGTATCTGTTTCAATGAACGGGCTTTTTCCATAACGATTCTCTGTAGCAACACGAAATTGATATTCAGTGCCTTGTGTCAGACGGGAAATTTTGACTGATGATCTTGCGACTGTTGCTGACACAGTCTGCCATATTGAGCTGCCCGTGTCTCTTTTTTCAACAATGTAGTTACTTATCGGACACCCACCAGTGTAAAATGGGGGCTGCCATGATAGAGACACAAAGTCAGCGCTCACATCATCTATGCTGAGGTCAGTAGGTGGTCCAGGTCTTTCATAAACATTCACAAAGATTTCAGCTGATGCAGTTCCTATGGAATTAGTTAAAATTATCTTATATGTACCAGCATCAATCCTGGTTGCGTCTTTGATAATAATTTGAGACGTCYTGTCAGATGTGCGTACATTTATCCTGCTTGTCTCTTTCAGGGTATTTCCCTCTCTTTTCCAGGCTACCATTGGTGGTGGCACTCCCATGAATGGAATATCAATCTTCAGATCATTTCCTGCCTTTACACTAAACGTGTTGGTCAGTAGATTAAAAACAGGTTCAGCACTGGTATCTTTTACCATAACGGGTGTCAACAGAGATTTTGGTTCACTCCTTCCCTTTTCATTAACAGCACTGACTCTGAAGAAATACTCCTTTCCTTGTGTCAGCCCATTTACAGCCACTTCTTGTGCTTTACTCTCTGAATATTTAATCCATGTATCTTCCCCCTCAGCTTGCATTTCTACAATGTAACTTGTGATTTTGCTCCCTCCATCATGATCAGGCTTTTCCCAAGAGAGTCTTGCACTGTTACAAGTGATGTCGCTCAGAGTGATTTTGCCAGGTGGCAGGGGAGCTTCAGACACTTTAACTGCCTCTGGAGTTTCTGTTGGTAGTCCAGTGCCGAACTCATTTACTGCCAGGACACGGAAGTAGTAGAAGCATCCTTCCTGTAGATTGTCAATCTTATAGAAATTTCTTACGCAGTTGCCACAGACACTCGTGAAAGCTTTCCTGGCCTCCTCACGCTTTTCTACAATGTAGTGAGAAATCTTTGCTCCTCCATCAATTAGAGGGGGTTCCCAGGAGATGGATACAGAGTCTCTCTTTACGTCCTTTACTTCTAAAGCCATTGGTGCACTGGGGGAATCCAAAACTCTGACATTGATGAATGCTGATTTAGTGCCACAGCAGTTCTCAGCAGTCAACACATACTTTCCACTGTCATTTCTGTTGACATTCTCTATTAGTAGAACAGTATATGAGTTTGTTATCTCAATCTGAGCACGCTCGCTTAGAGTGTCACTTTCCTTTGACCACCTAATTTCAGGTTCTGGTTTTCCTCTGAAGGTAACATAGAGACGTAAGGTGGAACAGGCTCGAACATTGACTGTTTTCCTCAAAGCAGTGTCCATTTCAATCTCTGGTGCTTCTACTTTCTCAATTGGAACCACAGACCCAGGAAGAGCTACATGTTCTCCAACACCAGCAGAATTTATTGCACATATGCGAAAATTGTATTCTGTATTTTCTCTGAGTCTTGTCACAGTGTAGTTTGTGTCCTGTACACCTGGACTTGATGTGCATGTAATCCATTCATCCTCTGCTGCTTCTTTCATCTCAACAACATACCCACTAATGGTTGCTCCACCATCATAGATGGGTTTTGACCAAAACAGAGAAACAGTGCTGCTGGAATAATCTGTCACTTTTGGGTTGCTAGGTGGACCAGGAGGGTAAATAGCTTCACATACTTTAATATACTCACTTGGTTCACTGGGTGCACCCACWCCTGCAGCATTCTCTGCAAGAACTCTAAACTGATAGTAATGCCCTTCAGTAAGCCCTGTGCATCGAAAACGCAAGTCATTTAGCCTCCTTTTGTTGCATTTTGTCCATCGGACACCCTCTTTGTCACGTTTCTCCAGAATGTAGCCATCAATCTCTGAGCCTCCATCACTTTCAGGCCTTTCCCATGTTAGTAGAACTGAGTCACTGGTCACAGCACTAGCTACAGGGGTAGAAGGTGCGCTAGGTGTTGTGAAAGGATTTTGAGCAATAAAAGGTTCTGATTCGAGAAATTCACCAACACCAAATTTATTCACACCAGCAATTCTGAATATGTATTCTTTGCCAGGTACGAGTTTTGACACTTTGTAACTTGCAGCTTCAACATGAGGTTCAACCCCTGTCCAGGTGACTCGACTGGTCTCTCTTTTTTCAATAATGTAATGGGTGACAGTAGCACCTCCATCTTGTAGAGGGGGATTCCAGTGAAGATTGCACTTCTCTGCACTCACAACTTTCACTTTCAGTGGTCCATCGGGTGGACCAGGTCTGTCTAAGACTTTAACATTAACTGGAATGGATGTCATTCCACCAATGTTACTGAGGCTCAAGACATACCGCCCTCCATCCACACGTGTGCATTCTCTGACAGTGAGCGTTGTATGAGTGATAGTGCTTTTTATCTCTATTCTTGGTGTAACTTTGTCAATTTCTTTTCCATCTTTCAGCCATCTAACTTCTGGAAGGGGCTTTCCAAAGTAATCGGCATCAATAACAAATGCCTCTCCTGTTTGAACAACAGTAGTGCTCTTAAACTTGGGGTCAATAAATGCAGTGGGTCCTTCGATAACATCCTGAGCAAGAATGGTGATGCTTTCTGAGGGCATACTCCAAACACCAGCACTGTTCTTGGCAGTTACCCTAAACTCATAACTTTGACCTCCTGTAAGACCTGTGATGGTGAAGAGATTCTCAATGACATTGGTGAAGTTTGCCTTCATCCATCTACCATCTGGCAGCTCCTTCTTTTCAACAATGTATCCTGTAATAGTGCTTCCTCCATCATACTTGGGTTTTTCCCACTGAAGGGTGATGCTGTCTCTGGTCACAACAACAGCTTCAGGTTTCCCAGGTGCATCACAGGGGTCTCTTGCTACATAGCATTCAGATGTATTACTACATTGACTTAGTCCAGCAATATTTTCAGCAAAGACTCTGAATTCATACTCAATGCTTTCCTCCAATCCACTTGTTTTAAAGCGAGTGTCAGGTATCCCAAATTTGTTTAACTTGGTCCATAAAATGCTGTTCTTCTCTTTACGTTCAATGTGATAGCCAGTGATGGGGCTGCCTCCATCACTGAGTGGAGGCTCCCACTCAACCACCATGTTGTACTTAGTCACACTGGACACATAGGGAGTGCCAGGAGCAGCAGGGACACTAAATGGATACTGTGCCGTCACAACTGGAGAGGTGACTGCTGTGCTTTTTCCGTGCCTATTTTCGGCAAACACTCTGAACTGGTATTCATTTCCCGTTTTCAATTTTGTGACTTTGATTGTGGTTCTTACTGTTGTTGCTGACACAGTTTGCCACTCTGTACTTGTAGTTTCCCGTTTCTCCACTATGTAATTGTCTAGCTGACAGCCTCCTGTATATTCAGGTGGCTCCCAAGAGATAATAACATAGTCAGAACTGACCTCATCAACCCTCACAGGCCCTGAAGGTGGATCTGGCCTCTCAAGAACAACCACAGTGACTTCACCTGTGTCTTTTCCAGCACTGTTGCTGGCTGTAACAGAATACTGCCCAAAGTGCTCCCTGGCAGCATGTCTGATATGTAGGACAGTCAGTGATGCTTTAGTTAAAACCTCTAGCCTTGATGTTTCCTTAACTGCCTGACCATCTTTTTGCCATTCAATCTTTGGTGCAGGGTGCCCAGTCACAGGGATCTCTACTTTTAGATCTGCCCCATTCTTGACCGTGAATGTGTTAAAAGTTATCTGGAGTTTTGGCTTAATAGCATTTTCTTTATCTGTTTTGGAGACAGTTTGGACCTGAGCACTGTTTTCTTGATTCTCTGCAGAAGAAGCTGACTGTCCTAGAGCGAGAAAAGAGAAGCAATGATTAAAGTGAAGCATTTAGCACATTAAATTGGCACAAAAAATCTCGCAAACTAACCTGCTGAATAATTAAATAAGAAAAATAAGTTCAGTATTTTTTTCTGAAAGGTTCCGCCATATAACAAAGAGCTTTATACACAGCAACACACCAGGAACATGCCAAGATTTAATGTGGTGTTCAATCACCTGTCTTTGAACAATGCCCTCAAATAATATGCCTTTGACTTTCATGGTGCGTACTTTTCAAGTGCCCTTCTACTCTCATCTGGGTGTGTATTCTTTCTTAGGTTACTGAGTTCTTTAACATTTTTAATAAAAGAAAAAATGTGGAACTTGTAATGAAAGTTATAAAACACATTGCAGTCWAGGAAAATATTTGAAACAAGATATAATTATGTAAAACGTCAATATGTAGTAGTAGGTATACCTGTGTGGATACTTTAAAAAATGTTTTAATTTAATGAAAGTGTTGTAGTTTTACTTTTAAAATCATGTCTGATTATTTTTATTTAACTGAAAATTAACAGTGCTATCTAGATTCCACAACAACAGGATAAATGGATTCAAGAACCTGGAAGGACAATGAAGTCAATGAGTTAGAATTCTCCATACCATTTAATTTGGGGATTTGAGGTTTTTCTTCAGGTTTATCTTTCATCTAAAAGAGAAAAAGGACAGAAATTATGAGAAAATTCTAAACTAAAATGTAGAACACTAACATGACGGGGTTTTTTTCCGTCTCTCTCTCTCTTTTTTTTTTTAAAGCTGATTATTTTGTTGTAATAATAAGTACCTTAATGCCTGCATTAGATTTTGTTGCAAGTTACCTTTTTAATTCTACTGATACCTTCTGGTCATTGTGTGTTTATAACAAAAACATTTGATGGAGTTAAATATAACTGTGCTGAATTGGAAGAAGCACTGCTCTGCTTAATGTGAAAACCTGTTATTTTCTAACCTTTAAAACAATAAACATTTGATTTCATAAAGACCCCAATGGGATTTTCTATACTCTGTATCTAAATCAAAAGTCATTCTTCGACTATCTAGGTCCACACTTATTTACATTACAGACAACTTTTATATATATAAAACAACAACAATAACAACTTCACAGTTGTACTTACTTCATTGTCAGTTGTTTCCATCTTTTTACCTTCTTCGATTTGGGCTAAAATMTAGGAGACAAAAGTGAACTTTAATCCAGCTTGCTTGGAGTGATAAACAACTTTTAGTGTGGAGAACCCTCCAAGGCTCTTCAGCAGTGACTCATCCCTCTACTAGTCACTGCCTGCTTTAGCTCCAAAAGTAAGTAGAGACTAAAAATAATCTAGAGTTGCACTGGACAGCTGGTCATTCTTTCAAACTCTATTTAGCCTATGGGTCAGCAGCTATGAAAACCTTGAACGTTACTCAGCAGATAAATATTGCACTTTAAGTAATGAAGCTGGAAATATCTGGGCCAGATATTTGTGAACACATAAGTTTTCCTACCATAAATAACCAGATAGTAACAATAAGAAAGTAACAAATACTTTTTTTAAATTTAAACTTAAATGCAATGAACAAAAGTTTATTGTTTCAAAACATTTATGTGGTTTAACTGTGTAAACCACATAAAAAAGTAGGCAAATGCGTCAAAAATAAACGTTTTAAAAATACATCGCTAAATGTCAACATTATTTATGCTTTTATTTTGGAGAGTGAAACCGGAACAACAGTAAACGTCATAGACGCGGAAGTTAGTTAGCTAGCCAGGTTGCCGGTGTTGCTACTAAAGAGGCTTCAAGTTATGAGTCAGTGTGAGAAAAAATATAATATTTTTAACGCAATACGTTTGCTCTAAGTTTGAAGACGTTGACCTTAACTCGAAGTTTCATACAGAAAGGTGAAGTGTTCAATAAATTCAACGTTATTAAGCATTTTCATTGAAACAAATATGTTAACGCCTGATTTCAGAGCTAGCATTTTCTGATATCAACCTCGTCTCCATTTATTCTTAATCATTAAATTCAAAATGTAGTTTTTGAGTTTAAAAAGAAGTTAGAATTAATTGATTCAAGCTTTATAATGTTTCTTGGTTTAATTTTGTTGTACATCAGAAAACATTGCTTTAGCTCACTTAAACATTCAGATATAAGCATTTGTATTTCACAGCTGTTTATTTGTGGTAAACAGCTAAACTCTTATCAGTAAAACTATGAGCTAAGTTCATTTGAAGATTGTGTTGTTTAGGATTCAGCAAATCTCACATTTCCCTGGTTTTACTGACCCTGAACAGATCCAAKCATGACGCTGCAGTTTGTGTACAGCCGCCAGGACTTTGTCACTGATCTGAGATGGAGTGAAAATTGTCCCAAGATGGTGCTACCACCTACAAGGTTTGACACAACCATCCGAGACGGCTGGACAGGCAGGATGGATAGGGGACTTTTCCGCTACTATCTGGGTGACTTGGATACACGTATCCTGCCAGGCTCGTGTGGCTACGTGGCTCAGCTAAATATTAAGCGAGGAGAAGAGAGAAGGAAACCTCAGGAAATACTGAGCATTAGGCAGGAGTTCACCCATAATCAATTTAACTTTAACAAAATCAATCCTGATGAAGTTATATTTGAGATGATAAAGGCCACAGATGGAGGCATCGAGTTGACTGATGGACAGGTGCRTCAGTCTTGTAGGACAGTTGTACTGATCAATGTGAGCCCGTTGGAGTTCGGACATTGTCTCTTTGTTCCAGATCCCGCATGCGGTTTCCCACAAATCTTGACAAGAACCACAATCCAGGTCGGCATCGAGTCCGTGCTTCTAAGCTCTAACCCCTGTTTTCGGGCTGGATTTAACAGTCTCGGAGCCTTTGCGTCTGTCAATCATTTACACCTTCATGGGTATTACTTAGACCACGAGCTTAAGATYGAATCCAGCCCAGTGAAGCCTTTGGTACCTGAAAAAAGATTTTATCACATGCAAGACTTCCCGTCAGGATTTGTGTTTTACACAGAAGCGGAGGAGGTGGAGAAGGTGGCAAGAAGCATCTGTGAAGTCACAGACTTTTTAGTGGGTGAAAACATTGCTCACAATCTGTTCTTGACAAGAGGATGTCCGCCGTGTGAGCACATGCGGAGCGCAGAGGATCGCTGTTTAAGAAACGGTGTACGGATTGCCATCTGGCCCAGAAAAGCCTGCTTCGGTGCCAAGGAGGAAACTGACATGAGCGTCGCTCTTTGTGAGCTGGCAGGACATTTACCATTTAAAAGCAAAAAGGACTACGAGTGTGCCACGGAAGAAGATGTCATGAAGATCGTACAGAGTTACCTCCTACCTGATGATGAGTTTCACAGATTGGAGCAGCAGCTCTCCAARCTTTTACTGGCATCATAATGCATGAAAATAGTTTTAAAAGAGAACTCATACATGAACGAGTTCTCTTTCCATGAACTTCAGTTTACATTTTCAATATCCTCCGGTAAAAAAATTAAATAAAGTATTTAATTTATAGTTATATTTGTCAAAATGCCTTTTTTGGGGGGGATTTGCAGGGAAACGGGTAAAAAAAGGAGAACAAAAAGTATGCAGTTAAACATATTGCTGTATCTGTATTTTGGGTTTTGAAACATGATACACAACCAAAAGTACTTGGATATACAGGGTTCTATGACTGTTTCTAAAAGGATGGAAAAAAGGTTATCTTTTGATGTCTTGTCRAAAAAGTCTGGTGTGTCTACCTCCAATGTTTTAGTTAAATAGTTTAGTTTTCTAACCATCTAACCTCAGTCTTTTATCATTGTTTATGCCAACTATTAGATTTTGAAAGCATTGCAAAATTGAGCAAAACGTCATGTAAAATCACGTTTCCATTGACGCACTTGGCTGATTYCTTCGTTTTCAGCCATCATAGTTTGTCTGTTTAGTCAGCACGTGTCACTACTGCCAGCAATTTTTTTTTCCCTGATTATGAGCAAATATAACTTTAAAAGCTAGATAAGCTTTAAAGTTTAATAAAAAGCTGTATGAAATTTTTTGCACTCTGTGRTTTAGTTTTTAATTCCTAATTTGACAAACCAAAAATAATACGGTAAACTTGCTTTAGATGAACTCTTTATACTCTTTTGGAGGTCACTGTAACTTGTGCTCAGCCAGTCTTTTGCTTGCCAATGTTAAGTAACAACATTAGTCATGATCTTCACACTAAGTTGCACTTTGTCACCAAATGCCTTGTTGAGTGCCTTTTATGCAATGTTGCAAAATGTTTACACGTGCATGTACTGAATGTTTCACATCCTGCCTGAACTATAAATTAAAGGTTACAAATATATTTATTCAGATTCACTTGATTACTGTTTTATTTGAATAAATATTAGGATGATGTAAACATTTCATGCCAGAGTTAGTCCGATATACATTATGTTAAAATAAAAGCATTTTGGTTAAAGATTGAAAATAATGTTATGCACAACTCATGCAATAAAATGTAAAGTTGAGAGTATGTTGTGACTGACTCTGTTACACCAAATTTAAGCCCAATATCTGTAAAATTGACTGAATTACAATAATTGTTGTCATATTTTGTTGACGTAATGCATAATTACTGTGGGGGCCATCTTGAATTYGGTGACTCCAAAAGTAATTAATCATAGATGTTCATTACTTAATTATTTCTCATAGTTTTATTACAATCCATTTATCTGTTTATATATTTTGCAAAAATAGATCCCTTAAAGGTAGTGGCACATTTTTTTGTTCAAAAACTCCATGAGCTCTCAGAATACATGTTGGGGGTTACTCTCAACTACTACCACACCAAATCTTATTTCAGTAGCTTTAAATTGACTGAGTTGTATCCATTTTTTTAAGATTGGCTGACTGTTTATATAGGGTCAGATATTAACCAAGAGTTAAAATAACTAATAGAAATCAGTATTTTTTTTTAACCATAGGTGAAACTCTGCTGTAAAGAAACCGAACCAGCTACATACATTTAATTTAAATTCTTTTCAACATAAACATCTTGATAAAATGGGTAAACAGAGCCAGTATTAATGTTAAATGTTACATTAAATATGATACATTTTTGTTTGGTCAAAATTTTTGCTCTCAAGATAAAGAAAAGATGATGTTTATTGACACACTAACAAAGAGTCTGAGTGGTACAATTCTCCAAACTCACGATCCCTTATGACTTGTAGGTTAGATGATTTTTTAGTGCACATTTACAGTCAACACTAAGGTCAGTGTACAGTTTGAAAATGTTTACGGAGGCATGTGGTTTTCCATAAATGAGATCTTATGACTGTATTTAGTCTCTTCCTTTGTGACAAAGAGAAACACTTGGAGGATGTGTTAATGACACTGTATAATCTCAGGATCAACAGGGCTGTTGGGGTAAAAACAAGTTCATCAGATTTATGGCAAATTTGTAATGCCATACATCATCATTTTCTAGCGTTGAAGTTAGATTTTGGTCCTTTTATCAGATTTGTCCAGGCGAAAAACTGCAGCGCATCATCCTAGAAGAGCACATCATCTGCCAGAGTGACATCACCAGGGTAGCAGAGTTAGGCTGAGCTGTAAGATCATTAAACACAAATCTGTTCATCCAGTTTAATGAGTGTGTTCATCAGGGGAAGCACAATCTTCTGTTTATTCAGCTTTCTTGTATTCTTCTGATACACTTCAGTGAAGAAGAGTAGGACAAAATGTTCATTAATTGTGTTGGAGGAAAAAAAATAACTTTTTTTGCAACAAATTGTTAAATTTATGTGTCAAGCTTTACCATTTTTTAAGTCCCATCCATTCCTGGCAGCTTTGAGCATTTGTCGTCACAGTGACATGAAAATCCAAACAAGCACACAATGGTCAGTGAGCTGACATGTTTATCCAAGTCTCGTGTACCTGACTTTCTTGGCATGATATTCGCAGAAATGACTCATTACCTCAGTCCATACGTTAAGAAAGGACACCCCTTTATAGAACAGTAACATCTAAACAAGCAGGATCAGGATGAGCTGAAATGTTTTGCTGCAAACTCGGTAAATGTACCAATATAGAGAAATTTAAGGAAAAGCATAAAGGCTTTAAGACATTTCAGAATATTTTCCATCGTACTAGGTGCCATGAGAAGAACGTCAGGACACTCCCAACTTGGTACAATACAACTTTTGAAAGGTGATTTTTCTTTTTTGTTTTCTTTTCTCTTTTTTTTTCCAAAATACCTGCTGCAGTGAATGAGTTGCCTTATAAATCATCAGCTGAAAGCCTATTAATGCTACAACCCCTGGCAAAGAGTATGGAATCACCAGTCTTGGATTCAGACATTTCATTCTGTAAAACAAACTCAGATCAAAAACATGATYCAATAATAAGGTCATTCCAAAGTGCAACTTGTTGGCTTTCAGGAACACTCAAAGAAATGAAGAGAAAACATTGGAAGTCAGTGAATGTTACTTTATTGACCAAGCACAGGGAAAAAAGTATGGAATCATGAAAACAGATAAACAAAAGACCATTCAAAATACATGACTATTTAGTTGAACCACCTTTGGTTTTTATAACGGCTTTCAGTCTCTGAGGCATGGACTTGATGAGTGACAAACAGTATTCTTCATCAATTTGGTGCCAACTCTCTTGTTGCCAGATCAGCTTTGCAGGTCGGAGCCTTCTTGTGGACCATTTTTTCCAATTTCCACCACAGGTTTTCAATTGAGTTGAGATCTGGACTATTTGCAGGCCATGACATAGACTGAATGTGTCTTTCTCCAAGGAATGCCTTCACTGTTTTTGCCCTATGGCACGATGAATTGTCATCTTGGAAAATTATTTCATCACCCCCAAACATCTGTTCAATTGACGGGATGAGAAAACTGTCAAAATGTCAATGTAAACTTGTGCATTGACAGAATAATTAACCATAGTCATCTCCCCAGTGCCTTTGCCTGACATGCAGCCCCATATCATCAAAGACTGTGGAAATTGCCACACCTCAGAGACTGCGAGCCAGTATAAAAGCCAAAGTTGGTGCAACTAAATACTAGTGATGTATTTTGAACGATCTTTTGTTTATCTGTTTTTCATGATTCCATACTTTTTTCCCTCACTATTGAGTGATTCCATATTTTTTTTCCCTGTGCATGGTCAATAAAAGTAACATTCACTGACTTCCACAATGTTTTCTCTTCATTTCTTTAAGTGTTCCTGAAAGCCAGCAAGTTGCACTTTGGAATGATCTTATTATTGTATCATGTTTTTGATCTGAGTTTGTTTTACAGAATGAAATGTCTGAATGAGTGATCATCCAAGACTGGTCATTCCATACTTTTTGCCAGGGGTTGTGCTTTATGTGGAGTTCAAAATGTACTGTTAAAAAAGGAGAAAGATCAAATGGAAGTTGTAATGAGCAGTTATGTAAGGCTAAATGGGCGTGGAGAAGTTTGTACAGCATTCTTCTCTTGTTGAGAGAAAGAAAAAAACTAATGTTCACTTCTCAGGCTCAATATATCACAGTCTTGTTTGATTGGTAACTTCTCTGATTAGTTTATATTTTTAAAGTGATTTTAAAGCTGTGGATAAAACATGTTTTTAATGCAAAATAAAATATAGTTTTAAAACTTATATAAGCTTCAGCTGTAAATCGTGATTCTGTTTCTGAATGCATCATCTGTGACGCTCTCTTTTAAAGAGGTTAGAGGCACGTGAACATAAATTACAATTCACGTTTCACAGGAGTAGATGTTTATAATGAGATGAAAAGGCCTCCACCCTGTGATATAAAGACAAAGTCCAAAAGGAGTGAAAACCCATCAGGATGCTCTGATGTTTCACAGAAGTGCCTTTTGACTTTTATTGACTTGCAAAGAGTGTTTGTATTAAGGGAGGAGGTCAGAAGTGGACTGCAGTTTTTGTTTCATTAAGCAAAAAGAAAGAGAATCTATAAAATTAATCTTTAAAATTAGCCTATACTGTCATCCATTTTTTCAACAAGATATGAATCCTGTTTCCTCTGACAACATACCCTTAGAATTTGTTTATGCTACTTTATTGTTGATAATGAAAACACATCGTTGCAATTGAAAATATCATCCAGACGAACGGCTCTGAAAGGAGGCAAGAACACCCCCCACATGCAGAGAGGGAGGAGCTGCTGTGGGCGTGTCCTCGGCCCAGAATCCCACTTGAACTTGAGGATGCTCTGAGGCTTCTCTACACTCTCTTGTCTCCTTCAGCAGAAGAAGGCAGCCCTTCAACGACTTCAAGGATTTCAACTGGGCTGAAACAATGGGAGCCTGCCAGAGCTTCAGGGAGATGTGCGACCGCACGAAAAACACCAACATTCGCTTGAGCCTTCCAGCGGTTTGTGTCATATGGCAGACCGCCATGATCATCCTGTTTGGAATTTTTATCCGTTACAACGAGGAGTCAGACATACGCTGGGCAGAGCACAAAAAACTCAAAAATATAACAAGCGACATCGAGAATGACTTCTACTTCAGATATCCAAGTAGGTTCACCTCTGTTTTCTTCTTTTCAAAAAGGACTTTAAAGTAATCGCTGTTTTTTAATTTAAGAAAGAGCTGAAAAAAGGAACGTTTTTATGTTCAAATTTAGAACCTTTTAGATACTTGTTTAATGATTTATTTTTCACTAGAAGTTGAACGTTGTTCGTGATATTAAGTTAATGTTAGATCTCATACTGGGATAATCTTTTATTCAAAATTGTTGACAAAGGCACTTGCAGTCATGTACTGTATTTCCCAAGGGTTTGACTCTCCTGAGGCTTTTTTTAAATGTCCATGCATGACTTGTATAAGCTTACTACTTTGTTTTTAAAAACGTTATATTTTAATTAATATCTAACCTAATTTGTGTTTTAAATTCTGTGGAGAAAGTTTTTTTTTCTTTTTGGTTAGGCTGAGATCAAGTCTGAAGCTTCAATTCTTTATTTGCTCTAACATACTGTATTAAAGCAGTTACCCTGATGATGTGTTTCTTGCTAAATTGACAAAAAAAAGTGTTTCAGTCTGCATTGTGACGTGTCTGGCAGCTGCAGTATGGTCTCGTAAGATGCTGGCATCCACACATTGTAGAAAAAAAAGAGAAAATATTACCATCCATTCATCCAGCCATTATTTATAACCTTTCAGGGTCACTGGTGCCCATATCCAGCAGTCACTGTGTGAGGGGCAGGGTACACCCTGGACAGGTCTCCAGTCCATCACAYAGACAGATAGAGACAAACATTCACTTACACCTAACAGTTTAGTTACCAGTTAACCTAACATGTTTTTGGTCCTCTTGCTGAGAGGCATCTACCCTACCAACTGAGCTGCTCAGCATGACATTCATTAATTTATAATTTACTTTGATCACTRATCTAAGCTTGTTTTAATAGCCACCTACACAATGAGCAGCTTTCTTTAACTTTTTGAGTTTTCTATTCACATTGCGTTTAATTCTCCTTCCCTTTACTTGCTCCATCTTCACCTTTTTTCTATCCCACAACTGCTTCAGAGACATTTTCTTAAACTCCTGGATGTTAAAACCTGTATATGCATCCTAATACTCCCCTAGCACATCAAGGGTGACCCTTGATTCATCTCCAATTGATACCCCTCTCTTATATAATATGCCCTCATGCCAACTTGCATCGTGGAGACATGTTCTAAACGCAAACTGCTGGTGCAAACTGGACAGGTTTGTCTGGCATGCAGCTTCACTGATACACACGTCTAAATCCAGATTCTGTAAAGATCACATTGTGTTGTCCTTTTGTGTTTGTATATATACACATATCTTTAGCTAGTTTAAAGTATGATTAGGGTAAATAATATACATTTTCAGTGCTTTTTCTAAATGATCTTTAATGGCCAAGCAAGCACAGCGCTAGCTGAAAAATGTGCAATGATATGAACCATTTTTGTGATTGAATTTAAAAAAAAAATAAAACATGATTTAATGCATAAATTTCTCTGGGATAAATTATATTCTGGTTACCTTACAGGTGATCTTTATCTAATTGAAAGACTCAACCTGTGTGTTGTTGATGCAAATTTGCGTTTGATATTTTCTCAGTGACTGAGGGTCGTTCAGTGCACGAGTTAGTTTTGCTGCCCTGACCATGATGCCTCCTCCACAGTTCTATGCAGCTGTGATGTTCTGTCCAAACAGCACTGCAGAATGACTCAGCTGTCTTTGTTCTCACATGTCATTGTCCTTAAATAATTCATTTTATCAAACAGTCTTTCACAAATTTCTCTGAACCGTGGTTTCTATTGTGTTTTTCTTATGAAACTAGTTTTATTCAGTGAGCGTTTTTTTTTTTTATATGCACCAGTAAACATTCAATCTTCATAAATTTCTTATTATTTTCAGGAACTTGTGAAAAAAATTGGAATATTAATACCATTATATTAACATCATATACTATTATTATATTTTCACATKCATTTTCCGTCTTTAAGAAGAGTAGACATTGCCCTAACATTTTAAGGCTTGAAAGGAGCACCTGTGTTCACATGTCTGTTGTTTGAACACCTGACATTGTCCTGACACATACTGAGTCAGCATCTTCATCTTCAGCTGCCCAACAAGATCAAATTCTGATTTTTTTTTTCATTGAAACTCTCATCTCTCCTCATATACCTTATGCAGGTTTCCAGGATGTACATGTGATGATCTTTGTGGGGTTTGGCTTCCTGATGACATTTCTGAAGCGCTACAGTTTTGGCGGAGTGGGGTTCAGCTTCCTACTTGCTTCCTTTGGGCTCCAGTGGGCACTGCTGATGCAGGGCTGGTTCCACCACCTGGTTGATGGGAAGATCCTAATTGGGGTTGAAAAGTAAGCTACTGTATATAATCTACAAGCGAATGTGTTAAGTGCATCAAAAGCCAGTTTTTGTTTTAATTTGCCTGAAATTCTACAATACTTATATACCTGCACCTGCGTGGCCCCATAAATCAGGGCGGAGTCACCAGTTTGACTGACAGGTTCACGAGCAGATATTTCCAGGTGAATTAGATTTCATGTTTGAGGTTAAAAGATAAACAGAAACTTGAACTGTCAGGTGACGATACTGTTGAAGAGCAGCCAACTCACTGCGTGTCAAACCATAAGATTCAGCATGTGGTTTTTCTGTTTGCCTCCATGGATAAAACTGATATGTTTATGGTTTTATTATTTAGAAAACAAATTAACTGTCTGGATCAAAGAATTCAGGATATGGGCACAACACTAGACAAAATAAATTCTCTTTAGTTTTTGACTTGCACAGATTACTTAAGATAAGTATGCATTCTCTCTGCAGCTTAATCAATGCAGATTTTTGTGTGGCTGGCTGCTTGATCGCCTACGGAGCGCTGCTGGGAAAAGTTAGTCCTGTCCAGCTGATGGTTTTGACTCTGTTTGGGGTTACGCTGTTTGCTGTGGAGGAATATATTATCCTGAATCTCATCCATGTAAGTCATAAAAGTTAGCTTTTTTTTTCAGAACAAAATGTTAAGTACAACCCTCTTTTTGTCTCGTGCAGTTCCTCTACAGCTCATTTTCTTATTTTCATCCCTGAAGGCCAGAGATGCTGGAGGCTCCATGGTGATCCACACGTTTGGAGCTTATTACGGCCTTAGCATTTCATGGATGCTCTATCGTCCAAATCTGGAGCAGAGCTCCAGCCTGCAGCGCTCCGTCTACCATTCAGACGTCTTCGCTATGATCGGTGAGTTGGATTTAGCGCACAACTGCGTGTAATATTGTGGTTTTCTTAAGGTCCTAACCTGACCTTTATCCTGCCCTCGCTTTCTTCACAGGTACCCTCTACCTGTGGATGTTCTGGCCCAGCTTCAACTCGGCCATCGCTGATCACGGCGACGGGCAGCACAGAGCAGCCATCAACACCTACCTGTGTCTGGCTGCGACTGTGCTCACTACCTTTGCTATTTCAAGCCTCTTCCAGAAACATGGCAAGCTAGACATGGTAAACAAAATCATAAAAATCGTCTTGTATTATAAGCTTTAATGAACAAGAATATGATGAAAGGATATTGGCGTAGCTGTGAAGGTTTACAGTAAGAAAAACGCTAAGAGGTGGCATGTTCTCGAACTGCTCCTGACTTTTCTGCTTTTTATGTTTTGATTTCACAACAAAATCCACYTTTAGACTCTTCCATCATAAAGCTTTAATCTGCTTCCTCTCCGTCTCAGGTTCACATCCAGAACTCCACGCTTGCCGGAGGCGTGGCAGTGGGAACAGCAGCAGAGTTCATGCTGATGCCTTACGGGGCTCTTATTGTGGGCTTCTGCTGTGGGGTTGTGTCCACGCTCGGTTACATCTACCTCACGGTACGACCCCTGTCTTGTGTTTCGTAGCTATCGTGAGAAAAGAGATCATGCTGGGTTCAGCTCTCAAGGTAAGCTCATCAACCGTCTCGCTTCTTCCAGCCGTTCCTGGAGAAGTACTTGAAGATCCAGGACACGTGTGGAATCCACAACCTCCACGCCATGCCTGGAGTCATTGGTGGAATAGTCGGAGCCATCAGTGCTGCAGCTGCTTCAGAGTCGGTTTATGGGCATGAAGGGTAGGTTTTCTTTTCTAACGAGCCGGAGGACACATAAGGTTCTCTGACATTAACAAACACTTAAAATAGCAGACATTAGAGTAGTGATGTGTGTCTTTTTATCAAATTGTGTTTTCAATTGTGAATGGTCAACACTGAGAATTACCCCTCGTTTTGTATATATTTTAAAGGTTGGTCAACATGTTTAAGTTGGTTCCCGCAGTGCAGGGAGGACACCAGGCTGGGGGCCTCTGTGTGGCTCTCTGCTTCGGTATCGGCGGCGGAATCATTGTTGGTAAGAAAACCACCACCGTTAGAGACAGGATACACAGAAATGGGATGTTTGAGTCCAGTAGGTTTATGTTCACTTTTCTTCCTACAGGTGCCATCTTAAGATTACCCATCTGGGGCGATCCTGCAGATGACAACTGCTTCGACGATGAGGCTTACTGGGAGGTGAGAGATGAACGCTTTTTTTATTTAAAGTATGGATTCACGGTTTACGAATTCTGAAACATTTCGCTATTTATAGTTGCCCACACTCTTTTTTTTCCATCACGTTATTTACATAGTTAAATCCTCTGTCATTCCTTCACCTCTATTTATAAAGTAATGTTTATGGTTTGTCCAGTTTCCGACATTAAACGAATGAAACAGAAACTCCGATGGTTTGCCCCTTTTTATTTATGCGCTTATTGTTTTGTCTACAGGTGCCAGAAGAAGAGGAGAGCTCCCTACAGATTCTGCAGTACAACAACCACTTTCGAAACAAAGACGTGTGAGTGTCCGTTTGATTCATCTATCGAAGTCTTTCTAACTGTGGAGATAACTTGCTGAAATAATAATTCAGGGGCCACTTCTGAGTCGGAGAAACGCGTTGCATTCAAGTTCCCTTTGGTGGCAGCAGAGCTCAGTTTAAAGAAGGGTGGTGTGGTTTTCTGTTTGACTGTGAGGTCTACAGAAAGTCAGGCTGCGGTTAGAGACAAAAGCTTCTCATGATTCAGTCCAACTCCTCTGAGCTGTTTGTTGATGTGGGTTTCTTACAGAACATGTGTTCAACTCCCCAATGTGACCTTTAAATCACGCAGCAGTAGTCGTGTTTACAGTGGCAATAAATCCACTGTTGGCACTTGGGAGCAGGACGATCAGAGACAAAACCTATAACGAACTTTTTATGAAACCCGATTCTTCTAACAGACTTTTTTTTCTTTCTTTTTTGCAGAGTGGAATCAAATTTCACCGTGGAGCAGGACGGCAGAACTCGTTCATGAGCAATCTTACACAGCTAGTGTCTTCTTTCATTATACCTCTGGATGTGAAAATTTGTGAAAGCTGGAAAAAAAAAGTTTTTGSTTTAAATGTATTCACATCTTTTCTTTGGGTTGCCTCATTTCAGAGCTAAGAGGTAAACATAATGATGTAAAATTTATTGTTCTCTTTTTAAGATGTGATTCTCAGTAGTGAGCTGAAACCAGATCATTCTTTATTATCACATTTTGCAATAATTTTACTTTAAACTCTCATTTTGCACACGTGAGACATATATCAAGGTTTTTTTTACTTGTTTTTTTCTTCAAGTTATTTCTTTGCAATAAAAAATTGAAGAGAAAATTCAGGTGACAATTTTCAAATCTTGTGCCTTTTTTTGTCTTTAGCAAAAACTTTTGCTTTCATTGCTATGAGGAAAATGTAATGTAAATCATATTTTGTGTGAGGATTTTTTCAAAAACAGAACTGTTCATTGTGGCACTGAACAATGAAATATATAGCTGTGACAATTTTATGTAATGTTGTGATYTCTAATCATTTTTTTACATTAAGTCCCCCTCACTTTGCATTAAACAAAWTTTTTTGATGGTTTATAAAACACTAGTTGAAGTTTTTTTTATTATTTGCCCTATCTGCATTCTCCTTTTGATTATGTTTAAAAAAATACCTCACGCATATAAATATAAATCAGTAAAATGTTTGGTCAAAAATCATTTATTTGGATACTGAACATGATAAAACATTATGGACCTTTAGTTAACCAGGTAAATTTCAGCCTAAACATGAATGTTTTTTAAGGAAACCTGTTAAACCCAGGAACCTCTCTCTGTGTGTGTGTGTGTGTGTGTGTGTGTGTGTGTGTGTGTGTG